GAACCCAGTGCTTGGGTTCCATCGAGACCCAAGCCTTTCGAACGAACCCAGGCAGCCTGGGTTTCTTAGGCGTCTTGGGTTCGATCGAAACCCAGGGCAAGGCTCTGGGTTCGATCGAAACCCAGAGCCTGGGGTTCGGCTCTGGGTTTCGAACGAACCCAGGAGAAAAAATAAAAAAAAAAAAAATTCTCTTTTTTTTTCTGTGGATTTGGTTGGTTGATGATGATGAGTGGATTTGGTTGGTTGATGATGATGAAGAAGGCAAGGCTTGCTGAGGAACATTGTTGTTCTAGGTTCGAATGGGTTTAGGGAAGAAAGGGGAGAAGGGTTCAGGTTTTGCAAGAGGTGGGACCCACTGCCTGGGTTTCGAATGAACCCAAAGCTTGGGTTCGATCGAAACCCAGGGCAAGGCTCTAGGTTCGATCGAAACCCAGAGCCCTAAGCTGTGGGTTTCAATCGAACCCAGGAGAAAAAATTAAAAAAAAAAATTCTCTTTTTTTTTTTCTGTGAATTTGGTTGGTTGATGATGATGATGAAGGCAAGGCTTGCTGAGGAACACTGTTGTTCTAGGTTCGAATGGGTTTAGGGAAGAAAGGGGGAGAAGGGTTCAGGTTTTGCAGGATGTGGGACCCACTTTTTTTTCTTGTTTGGTTTTGGGGTAGAATAAGTCATACTGCCATCTCATCTTTTTTTTCCAGGTGTGCGTTTGAAGTGTCACTTTATTGTTGACATGTCATCGTGCTTTTGTTAATTAAGGACACGTCACTAGATTTTTAACGGATTTTTAACGAAGGGACTAAATCGGGGTCAAAATGGTAAACAGTAGGGACCAAATCAAGGATTTTTTGAGTTGAGGGACTAAGTCGGGGGTCCGTACGATAGTTGAGGAACCAAAATGGGGGTTTAACTGACTATATAATAAAATTAATCTTAATATTCTATTATTTTTAAATATTTGGTTTAGAAGTTTTAAATTTTGATTATGAATGCTTCTAATCAATTTTTGTACTATTCATGTTAAATGTTATTCACTTTTAACAAGATTAAAAAATAAGATTAAATTATTAGTGCATTAAGAAAAAAAAACCTAATTTTAATTTTTAAGAATTGTTTACGTTGCGCTAAAAATTTGAAATTATATTTTATTATTTTTGACACCTCTAGTGATGTAATCAAAAAAAAATTTCAAAACTTTTCAATTTTTACAAATGTAAAAAAGTATATAAGAATTTATTTATAATTTTTACCTATTATTATATTTTTATTGATTTGAATGTTGATGTATTTTATAATTATACTTTCTATTTGATATTAAAATATTTACATTATTTTACATATTTAATAATGTTAAAAATCAATCAATCCGACCAAACCACACTGATCCGATTTAAATTAAATTGATTTAGTTATCACATAATAATGGATTAAATTGGTTTAAAAATTTTATTAACCGACTATTAAATTGGTTTAAAAATTTTATTAACCAACTAAATTAAATTGGTTTAAAATTTTCAAACCGAACCACATCAAGAACACCCCTAATGAAAATAATATACAAGAATAAAATATAGTAAAAATATAAAAAAAGTGTATTTTTTCAGTTGATCAATTGGACCAATCAGGTGAACTGGTTCAACCAGTTGAACCAGACTCAATGGCCAAACGGGTCAACCATCGGGCGGGCCCAAAAACACTGGCTACAAACTTCAGTTGTTTGAAAACTCAAGATATTCATTGCCTACGTAAGATCAGGATCCTACCATAAAGCTCGTTTCATAGGGGAGAAGTTACACGCACAATTACACTACAGGATGAAGCAAAAAGGTCAGAAGGGTAAAGCAACTAAATAGCAGATTACATTGTACTAGCTATTGTAAAATCATTATCCACAATCTGCCAACAGAGATCCTCCGGAATGAAAAACCACAGAAAAATCAAGAGTGTGCCTGAAACCAAATCCAACATCAATTAGAAAAGTAACGAGGGAAAAAATCTAACACTTGTTCTAGAGGATGGATTCAGAACTTCTAATTACCTGATAATATCTTATGGTGTCTCTCCAGTAATATATCCCAACCTTTTAAGGAAGTCGCGCAATTTTTTGCCCTGCAAACCCATTGCGTATTTGTTACATGTTTGAGAGAGTCTCGAAAGAATATTGAATTTATCCTCAAACTCCTCCAAAACAACATCTATAGTCCCTCTAAGTCCAGGAAACTACAAAAAATTTAAGTAGCAAATAAAGAACAATTAGAGAGCAAAATAAAAAACATACAGGTCTGCATTTCATGGCAATAAAACACAGTATTGAGAAACCAACTCTTACCCATTCAGTAACATGACACCTGGCATCACGAAATAGACGCAACAAGTCTTCATTGTTTGCGTAGTTTGCAACCGAATACCCGGATGCTGTTTGGCGTGACCGAAAGATTGATTTTAGTTGTGGGCCTGCTGGCTTTAATTTTTTCTTCAAAGCATGATCCTTAGGAAGTTTTTCAAAATCCTCATGCCATAGCCGCCACCACTCATGGTCATTCATTTGAGAATGTTTTAATTCTTTAATGAAAAAGTTATATGCTTCCTCTAGATGCTTGAACTTCTTCTCAATGCTCCACAAAAAAGATGGGTTAAAAACAACATCCACATTGTACCTGCAAACAAAAAAACTCAGCAAAATAATCACAAAAAAAGTAATGAAATCAGACAAAAAAGAATCTAAATAGTACTTGTTATTTTGCACATCAAAGGTACCCAACAGCCCAATAAAATCAATCAAATATTGTGGCACATCGTCCTCGAATTTACGGTAATCCAATTGGTCAACCTTCTGTAACTGCTCTGGTGGCCTCCTATTAACAATCACAAACAAAAAGTGCCTGATAGTTGCTAAATCTCTTCTACATGAATCACAGCCCTTGCCAGATTTTTTTTTATCAAAATTTTTTTTATCAAAACCTACATAAATTTATCCAAATCAGTGTATATCTCCAAAAAAAAAAAAACTAGTAAATCTACAAAAAGAACTAATAATGAATTTACCTCTTCGAATCAAAAGTTGTGGCTCAAAATCAGTTTTGAAATAGATATATTTCATAAGATCTCCATGGCACATTTCATGTTCAATGGCACACTTCAGCCATTTTGTGCACAACCTAAATTCAATTAGTGTTTAAGTAACAAAAAAAACAAAAAACTAATTATCTGATATAAAAAAACCTTTCAAACCTCAAAAAAGGATACGAGGATACGAACCTCAGAAGAGGATACAAACGAGGCTTGTGAAAAGAGATCCAAGAGATACATTGCCGTCCTTTAATTGGATACACTTTGAGTAAATGATCATACCATGCCTCAAACGTGAAGAGAATATGTTGGACAGTCAATACAGATGTCCTCTCATTGAAATGTTTCCATGGAAGTGCAAATTCTAACATCGAAGATAACAGCCTCTCTTGTGCTAAAACAGTGACCTTATTAATATTCGACAACTGGGTAACTGGACAACTCAAGTCCATATCAGGATCAGTGCATGGTATCATATGGTTGCCGATAAAATGGATATGCTCACAACTGGCATTAACACAAACAAAAATCCAGTCTAAGAAATCATGACACAAAATTCTGTACAAATTTAGAAGCTCTAAATAAACCCCTAAGACTCCAAACAGAAAAAGATACAAGAAATCATATGGTCAAACCACAATGTGCAGAAAAATAAAATTTAAACATGAGATTACCAATCTTCAGGCGACCTGACCGCCATTTGGAGTTCAATATGTGCACTTGACTAGTGAACAAATTTACAACAAACAATGGTTGCAATTGGACTGCCCCCCTCCTCTAAAATGCAAATATTAGCCACAAAGAAAGGAAGGAAAAAAAATAATTAGATCATGTTTCTACCATTCTCCACAAAATAATATTTATCATGATAATTCGTCTATGGAGATAAAGATCAAATAGATTGAAAACTAAGGAAAATAAGAGGGGAGAGTTCCTCTTCTACTAAACTTCGTGTCTGCATGATTGAGAGTTTAGATATCAATCTTTCCTAATCCTAAACCACCTAATATCAACTTAAGTATGGGAAGAAAACAAAAAAGCTGAGCAATTATACAAAATTTTACGAGACTCCTTTTAGTGCTCATAATCAGATACAAAATAAAGCCACCATTCAAAACAAAGTCAACACTAGTCCGTCAAATCACTATTGGCTTGATCAATATAGAAAGTATTGTTCATTCGACACAGGCAACTGCTTCCAATTTCAAATCCAACAAACAATTATGACATAATAGGTAACAAATCTAATAATTTACTATCAGCAAAACATTAAAGAGAAAAAGGAAAACCTAAGCGGAAATTTCAAGAAAAAATGGTAAATTCGGAAGGAGGGATCTCGTTTCATCATCCTCACTATTATCACACTTACTACTTTCTCAGCAATCGGAAGCCACTAACAGATCCCGTTTCCCTCCGGTTTTCACATCTGAGCGGCCAAATATACCAATCACACAGAAGATTCCCCCGGGAACAGTCCTAACAGCTATCCAGACCACCAAATCGGTAGAGCCCAAAAAAAGAAAACCAAATCTTCCCTTCTTTTCTTTTGTGGCGGCTCCTTTCCCCTTTTTTAGTCTTCCTTCAAGCCCTCCTTCTGCGAAGCTTCCTCTTCTTTACTGGATGTCAGGCCATCAGTTCAAGAACGGAGCTAACAGAGTATGAGGAACGGATGAGCAAAGAATGGGACCCGAGAGAAGGAGCAGAACCGATTCCCGAAAAGAAGCCCTCCATTTTTTCTATTGTGGCTGTTTGGTGATTGATGATGGTGATGAGAATGATAATCGGCAAAGATGGAGGTGAAATGGGAGTCAAAGGGGGCCGAAGAGAGGTTCCTTTTTTGGTTGGAGAAGAAAAAAGATCTTCCTTTTTCTGGTGGCTGCCGAACCCCTACTCTGAAAGAGGACCTTCTGCTCGTGCGACTAGGGTTTTCTTTTTTTGTTTTTTTTCCTTTTTCAAAAGAAAGGAGAAGGATCGAGAAAGAACAGAGAAATCCCTTCGATTTTTACAGGGTCTGCTGCCTGCCGTTCTTTTGTCCGAGTTCCCTCGTTTCATGTAGACAAAGGATTAGGCTTTTGTTTTCCATTTTTTCAGTTTCAGGCCAGATGTGGACTTACCATACAATTGGGTTGATATTTGATTTTTATGGGCCTGGAGTATGAGTTGGGATGGAGCTTGAATGCAATCAGGCCCTAAATAGGAAAATGGTTTTCTTTCCTTTTT